CTTCCTACCTTTTAGGTGCAAGAGGGTGACTTTCCCTTGGGTCCAGTGGTGGCTCAGGTTGATGGTAGTCAGAGTTCCCACTCTGACTCCCTGTTCTTCCTCCCGCGCGGTCTGTGTGTGCTAGCTGGGAGGAGTGACATGCAGTCATTTCCTCCCAGCAGTGATGATCTCATCACAGGGGGCCCGGTCGCGCTGTTATAGCACCCAACGCTGACCGGGCCCCCTGACAATCTTTATCCATTGGGTGGCCCTGACAGCATGGGCTTTCGATGGGCACCTTAACATGCGGCCCTGGTGGTTTGCCGCGTGGGCCAGGGACGCAAATGACGGGCCCGGTCCCAGCTGCGACCCCTCCGACTGCGGTATGTACACCAGTGCTTGGGTTGTCTTCTTTTGCAAATGGTATGTCATCATGGGGGTAATTCTCATTCCTGGGCTACCATATGCTCTCAAAGGCAGCATAAGAAACTTGCAAATTTTAATGTGAAAAAATGGAAAATCAAGCCTTATATTTAGAAACATAGAAACATAGAATGTGACGGCAGATAAGAACCATTCGGCCCATCTAGTCTGCCCAATTTTCTAAAAACTTTCATTAGTCCCTAGCCTTATCTTATGGTTAGGATAGCCTTATGCCTATCCCATGCATGCTTAAACTCCTTTACTGTGTTAACCTCTACCACTTCAGCTGAAAGGCTATTCCATGCATCCACTACCCTCTCAGTAAAGTAATACTTCCTGATATTATTTTTAAACCTTTGTCCCTCTAATTTAAGACTATGTCCTCTTGTTGTGGTAGTTTTTCTTCTTTTAAATATAATTAAATTACACACATGTATATAATAATTTGACCCTGTAACTTTTAAAAACACTATAAAACCTTTACATGGGAGGGGGGTGGGGTACTGTTATACTCGGGATACTTCACTGAACACAAATATTAGTGTTTCAAAACAGTAAAACATATCACAACAATGATATCATCAGTGAAAGTGCTGTTTGTGTGTTAAAAATGCAAAATAAATTAATGTGTGTTTCACTGTTAATATTATCCCTTTGATATGTGTTACTGTTTTACTGTGTGAAACACTAATATGTGTGTTCAGCGAAGTCTCCCGAGTAAAAGAGCACCTGTTTTATGGTGTCATGGACAGGTACAGGGTTAAATAGAGTGCTAACAAATTAAATTCTCTGGACTTTCGGCCTAGGTTGTCAGGCAGGTCCCTCAGATTGCAATCAATAAAATTACTTAATTATGTAAAAATATTACATAAATATGTAATTAGAATCTAAATATATATACACATTTATATATTTGAAGTCTACATGTATATTTATGAAATTATTTATGTAATTATGTATATGGATAGATATATATATGTATATCTATATTTATTTAGTAGTATTTTTATTTATATATACATAGATATATATATATAATTTCATTCTAAGTGTATTTTGATATAAATATATATATTTTAATATCAAAATACAGTTAGAATAAAATTACATTTATATAATTTTTTTATTATTTTTCCATTTTTAATTTACTTATTATTTGTATTTTATAATAATATATATACAATATATATAATTATTATATACATGTGTGTAATTTAATTATAAGTGTATTTTTATAATAATATATGTACACTTAGTATGAAATAATATATACATAAGATATATATATATATATATATATACATATTATATATATCGAGAATATATGTGTATATATATATCCTTTATATATACACACATATAAAAACATTTTACATTTACTAAACATTATTTTTTTATTTTAGAGATGCAGGGAGACTGCCTGTCAGGTCAGGCAATCCCCTTGCAGGCAGCACTATGGACGCGTATTGCGGCCATGTGATCGTTCTTTCAGACCACAGGGGCTTAATTTGCCAAGCAGGGACTGTCGCCTTTCTCCTACTGAAGTCATTCACAGGTCTCCTTGTGCTTTGTTGGAGAGTGCTACTGTCTATTTCCATCCATCTAGGTTTGTCACCACCTCTTTTATCCTCAGACCAAGAGATCTTTGTTCGTGGTGGGGTACCAAGGTTTTAGATTCATCCACAAACATAGGTATTATGTTTTATAACACCTACCTTAGGTGTATATTTAGGGAGCTGGTCATGATCAGACATCCCTGAAAGCTCATTGGCCACTTGATATTGATTTGTTTCTTGTCTCTATTCCATGATCTAACCCCATCATAAGGGATGAATTAAACAGAATTGTATGGAATATATAACATTAATATTTTATTTGTGCAATGATCCTTGACTAATCATTCTATTATTATACTTATTGGCCTGGGCTGATTTTGAAAAGATACCCTGCTTATTTGGTCAGTGCAATTTAAATACTAGGTACCAAAGTGTTTACTCCCATTCATTAAAAACTTACATGGGTGATAAAATCAGTTGCCATGATACATAACAAACGTGTACTCCCAACAGGTATTTCTTCCAGATTGTTCAACCATCATCATGGTGTGTCCTGCTAGAACTGCATTCTACTGTATTTGCACAAAATAACTGGTTTGTTACGATTTGGAGCTTATAATAACGACAGTGTGTTTTCAAAGTATGTAATTACTGCCAACTGGAATACGCAAGAATTATTTATGATTACAAGTAACTGTCATGTTGCAATAGTCAGTATTCGGTTTGAAACCAATCACAAATTCAAGACTGGGGGGTGAGGGGGTGCTTGGATACAAAGTTCACTTCACCTACTGACCTAAGACTGCCATGGGTTGCAGTAGAACCACGTTGCATGGCTTCAAATGGTGCACTATTTCAGCGGACAATCCTAGTAACTGGCAATGCTCCACTGGAGCTCACAAAGCTTAGAGGTGACCCTCCTTCCAGATTCCAGATTCTTTCACATCCACGTGAACACTAAGAGACCAAAGTAATAAAAATGTATCTCACAGCTGGAAAATCATTCAAGTTGTATTGTAAGAGAAAACAAACCACCAGGTTTACATTGTGATGAAGCCTAATCAGGAAATACCAGGCAGGAGAGGAAGTGTAGCTTTCACCAGAAGGGACGTGTAACAGCACCCCCAGGCATAAAAGGGTTAAATCGCCGTTTATTAGATCTTCCCCTTCCAGAGATACAGGCACAGCTACTGCAGAACACCAAACTCCCGAACTGAATACAAGGGAATGCTACAAACTCCCGAACTGCATACAAAATAGCACTCCAAACTTCCGAACTGGAACCTCACGAATAGCTGCTAGCAGACGAACAGGAAAAGCACCCAAGCGGCTTACACTCCTGGCAACCAGTCTCTAACAGCATACAGTAAATCCTCCCAAAGAGGAGACAGAGCAATCGCCGTGGAGTTAAAGTGTTCACAAAGTCTGTTCTCCATACGAATAGACTCCACGGGATGGCTATCTGGGGTAATGCTGTTGATACGGTTTAAACTACCGAATGAACAGGCATCCGGTTAAATGACCGAATGCAGAAGCAAGGAGGCTGACGGCTCAGCGGTGTTCATGCAAATAGGTGTCTGTTTCCAGTTCCATAGTTTGGGCCCTGAACACCGCTGGCCGCTCGGGACTTTAAAATGGCCGCCGCCACGTGTTAGGCAAACGAACAAAGGCCACCCAGCATTTGTCAATTAAGCTGCGGTTAACCGCAGCTTCTGGGAGGTAAATTGCCGACACACTCCCAACACAGGTGGTCCAGTCAATCGGTTGTTTGTTTGGTAGATTGAATCTACCGAATACCGGGCAGAAAGGCACGAACAAGCCTTTTCTGCAGGGGAAAAGAAGGCTTTTTAACATGGGGCCATAGTCCAGAGGCAACCAGGCTTCTCCAATGCAATGTGGCGAGATTGGTCTCGTCACAGCACGCTTGTCAACCTCCAAGATTTTGGCCCATTTTGGATACATTTTGGATACATGCAATAATTTGACATTTTTCAAATTCCTGTGGATTTGTATCTTGTTGGATTAGTATGTCTAGCTTAGTATGGCAGCAACTATGAACAAAAATTACAATGGGTAGGGACAGATGTGATTAATCAGTATTGCATCAGACCTGAGGAAGAGAGGAAAACTCTCAAAAAGATGTTAGTCCAATAAAAAAGTATCATTGCATACTGCAATACTTTCATTGGCACCTTGTCTACTGTGGACTAATACGGCTAATCCAATCTACACTATATAGGAGGACTTCCAGTGACCTACTGTTTTAATAATGTGTACAGGTATAAACCTGCTTGAAGCCATAGATGCCGCCCCTAAAGATTGACCAGAATAATGGAAGAGTTAAGGCCTGGTCTTCTTGATTAATGTTCTGACATATCGCATGAATGAGATAAGTTTAAGGTGGCACCGTAGTAAAGAAATCATCGCGAATGTGTCGGTAATATGATGTACTAATACTTAGCCGCAGATACATAAACAAAGAGCGTAAATTAACATGTATCACAATTGATGGAAAAATGTTTGAATGTATACAGAGGGTGGACCATGCATGGTCAAGCATAAAGAGCCAATGCATGTATATGGGTTGTATAAGCGAGGAAACATGTAGGTTTGGTGCATGCCCCAATAGGAGTGATAAGGCCGGGTGATACCTTGATCACTTAACTCACCTGTCGAGATAAACATAGAGGCGATGAAGGACCACTTACCTCTGTGTTGAAATAGTAATGAACGGAAAGACTTAGGTGACATAAAACACTGGAAGACCACTAAGGGTCCAACTTGAAAAACCTTATAATATAGAGCAGGAATACCGTGTACATTGAAAAGCTGGAATCTGCCATACACGTAAGCCATATGGTGGTTAACATATAAGTGTCAAACCAATATATACCTTGCAAACAAGTGAGGGGTTAATACAGTAGCTGACTGGGCTAAAACTGTAGTACAAGAAAATTAGTATAAACAATTATACTAAACCAGGTGGCATGAATACGATTAACAGCATATAGCGTGAAACTTAAACTATTATCATATAATGTTGTCAGGATGGCCAAGCGTTCTAAGGCGCCAGGCTCAAGAGAGTTATCTTGCCTTGTATGTGTGTTCTGGTCTCTGTATGGAGGCGTGGGTTCAAATCCCACTTATGACAAGTGTGTCTTTCTTATTTAGAAAATTGGGCAGACTAGATGGGCCGAATGGTTCTTACCTGCCGTCACATTCTATATTTCTAAATTAAAATTCTAATAATGATGAGACTCTTGTAGGTATGTAAATTGTGAACCTGTCACATAACCACACTTGTTGGCAGGTAATCGACGGCCCATGTTGACTGAAAATTAATGGGATAGCCCAGAGACATATAAGTAATGAATGTAGATAAGTGATGAACATAGTGAGGGTCAAGTTGGTAACACCAAGTTATACATGGAAAAAGAGAGAATAGGTGGAGAACCGGAAGAGTAGCAGTACTGGAGAAAACAGAAATTGTGTAAGTAACTAGGATCAATATCAACAAGAATATTTATGAACAGTATTTACATGGACCCTAAAAGTGGACAGATAGGGGGGCGGGGACTGACATGCAAGATGGAATAACGTGTTTCTGTGGAGCTCTTACCGTACATTAACTGCATAAAGCAAGCTAATCCACCTGCACACAAGGCTCACAGTTACAAGCTACTGACCTAAATTCTGCTCGCCACCTCTGTAGCCTGACTCGTGGTACCTAGACCGCTGACTTTCACACAACCAGTCTTGAGGTCTACTGAGGCCAATGCGCAAATTGTTGGGAGAAGCAGCTGATCCCCTGATATGGAGAGCTAGCTGCCCCATTACTCTCCCCCTTGGGACCGGTGGGGGTTATCCCCCGGGCCATTGCAAGGATTTTCGCTGCCCTAGGCAAACAAAAATTTGCTGCCCACCCCATATGCTCTGCCCACCATGTGACATCACAATGCCCCACCCATATGATCTATCATATGAGCCAACGCCAGTGCTGTACAAAGTGTCTTTTCTCTGAAAAGGCAATGTGTTAACATTAAAAAGCCTACAGGGGCAGGCTAAAGACACCAGAACCACCGCATTAAGCTGTAGTGGTTCTGGTGACTATTGTGTCCCTTTAATGTGAGGTAAATTAGAGATTAGTGCCACTAATAATATACTGGATTGCCTACTTACCACCAGATGAGGACAAGAGGATGATGATGGGCCCAGGCTGCAGTCTGGCCCCACTGGTCTGGTTTTAAAACGGGCTTTCTGGAGGCAGTGCTCACAAATATCAAAGAACAGGAAGCAGCTCCATTTGTTGGGCTACTTACACAGATCACTGTCTGGGCCCCCCAGGACCTGACCGTGAGTATGCCTACAAGGCCCGCCCATAAGCCTTATGCCTACAAGGCCCACCCATGAATTTGCTCACAGGGAGTGGAGTGTATGTGTGTAGGGGATGCGTTATATATTATTGAAGAGGATGTAATGTGTATGTGTTCTTATGGAATGTAGTGTACAGGGATACCAGTTTGTGTAAGAGATGTAGTCAGGGCCGTCTTTAATAACGAATGGACCCTGGGCAAGTGTTTGCTTGGGCCCCCTGTGCCCTGCCGCTCTCGCCCCTCACTCCCTGGTATGCAATCACGGCATCCATCCCAACGCAGTGGCGGTACTAAAGTAGAATGAATTTATTGGGACCCCCAATTGCAAGGTTGGACTAAAGGTAGAACCCCATCTGTCGTGCAACTCCAACAATGCTTTGACAGCTGGGACTCTACCAATTTCCCATGCTTGCAGGGTTGTATTTAACACTGAGCCATGTTAGTATGTTTGAATGTAAGCATGTGTTTGTATGGAGTATGTTTGTGTGAATGTGTTTGTATGTGGTACTGGAGTTTGAATGCAAGTGTGCATTTATGTGTAGTGTTTGTTTTGAATGTAGGAGTGTGCTTGTATGTAGTGTTGACGTTTCAATGCAGGAGTGTGTTTTATATGTAGTGTTGAAGTTTGAATGGAGGGGTATATTTGTATTTAAAGTTGCGGCTCAGATGCACAGGTACACACTCTGACGCACAAGCAGATACACAGATACATACACTGACTACATACAGATAAACAGGCACATACACTGACAGACACACTGACACAGGTACATATATTGGACACACACACAGACACATACACTGGTAGACGTACTGACAGACATACTGACACAGGCACATATACAGACATACTGACACACAGACACATATACCGACATACTGACACACACACACAGACACATACACTGACAGAAATACTGACACCCACACACTGACAGATATACTGACACCACATACACTGAGAAATACTGACACACACATTAGCACATACACTGACACACACAGACTGATATACTGACACACACACACACAGCAGATATACTGACACATGCATACACATGCACTAACAGACATACTGACACACTGACAGACATACTGACACATACACATACTGACACACACAGATATACACACACATATATATACTGACACACAGACAGACAGACATACTGACACACACACACAGACATACTGACACACACACAGACATGCTGACACACACACATACACTAACACACATACACTAACACACAGATACACTAACACACAAACACACACACTAACACACATACACTAACACACATACTAACACACACATACACTAACACACACTAACACACATACACTAACACACAAACACACATAAACACACACATACATACACTAACACACAAACACATACACTAACACACACGTACACTAACACACACAAACACACATACACTAACACACACGTACACTAACACACACAAACACACATACACTAACACACACAAACACACACATACACTAACACACAAACACTAACACACACATACACTAACACACACATACACACACACATACACACACACACACACATACACTAACACACACATACACTAACACACACATACACTACACACATACACACACACACATACACTAACACACAAACACACACTAACACACACATACACAAACACACACACTAACACACATACATACACAAACACACACACTAACACACATACACACATTTTTTTTAAAATGTAATCCCCCCAGCCTCCTTACATTTTGGAGTGCTGGGGGGATTCCCTGGGGTCCAGTGGGCTGGTACTCATGGGGCGGGGAAGGGATCCCCTCGCCAGATGCCGCAAGATGATCGGCCTCCGCCCGCATCTCTTGTGCTCCTGCGCCGAGGGAGCTGAAGAGGAAGCAGTGCTCATGCGCGCCGCTTCTTCCTGCCCGGCCACCGCCACCCGGCCGGGTCAGCGGGCCCACGGGCAGGTGCCTCGGCCCCCCAAGAGAAACTGGGCCCGGGCAGCTGCCCCGTTTGCCCCGCGTTAAAGACGGCCCTGGATGTAGTGTGTGTGTGTGTATTGGGGATGCAATATGTGTTTGTGTGTAAGGAATACATTCTGTGCATGTGGGTGTGTAAGAGATGCATTAAGAGAAGCAGTGTGTGTGTGTGTAAGGGATGCATTGTGTGCTTCTGTGTATGTGTGCACTGCATTCACGATTCTCTGTGGTCTGGCTGGAATCATTGTGTTTCATAGTGGCTGGTCCACTTCTTAGGATTAGTAATCGACTCCGTGTCTTGCACACTGAAACTTTCCTCTTCAAAGGTCTCCTCTAGGAAATTCGCACAGTCCTCCACTGCAACACCGTGACCGTCCACACACTCGCACAGATCATGGGCTACTGCCCCCCTCCATCTTCTCAGACCCACTACGTTACCAGAACATGCAGCGCTTCATGGTAAGATTTCCTCAGGCGAACCCCTACAACGGACCGGACTTCGTTCTGGAGTCGGATACCAGCTTATGGGTCTACGGTGACAACCTGATAGAGTTCACCCACGGAAAGGGAATTCTCCCTTCACATTGAATACCTGGAATTCTTAGTGGGGTCCTTCACTATCCGCACACTGGTAAAGGAGTACTCCATTTGTTGCATACTACTCTGGATGGAAAGAGCGTCGACATTCATGAAAGGCATCTTCAATTTCTGCCTTCCTCTCAGGATCTCCCCGAGGATGGACTAACTCCCAAGGGAGACACATCTCAACACAGATTGGTATTCCAACCTTTAGAGGGGCCACCAGACTTCAGTGTTCTTCAAGTGGCTGCTGGATACGGAGTGCACAATGGTGGTCACATTCCTGCCAGCTGGGCCTTCCTGGTGGACGTATGTTTTTCCCTCCTTCACAATGATTGTGAGGTTTCTCCATCACCTCTGTGTTCCGTGAGAAACACTGCCGTAGCCATCCCACTGTGACGGAGTCAACCTTGTTTCCTGGACCTTCAGGGACTGGCCTGTGAGGATCTCCTCCTCCTACATTCATACCTGACTCTTCTAGTGGACCTGAAGGGAAACCCATTTCTCTTATTCTTGGGGGATCGGCTGACAGTGGTGGCCTGGAACCTTTCCGTGGGTTCTTGGCAGATCGGCAGACTATCGCGGGCTGCTAGGGACCTCTTACCGTACACCAGGGATGAGACGAAACTACCGCTCCATCTGGGCATTCCTGGTCTGGTTGGTGCTTGGAATGGAACCTTGATCCATTATGTGGTGTGTTCGGACAGTTCAACGACCCATGTCCCTGTCTGGGGACTCCCGAGGGTCAAAGATCCTCTTGTGTACAACTACCCAGTGACATCCACCTCTGGCTTATGAGAAGTGGAGATCGTTCTCAGTTTTTCTAGGGGACTGGGCATCTACTGTCGGACTTTTATGCTTGGTCTGGTGTCTTTCCATCGTGTACCGGATGTTCGGGAGTTCGACGTAAATGTTTTTATCTTATTATCTAACAAAATTGCTAAATATGAAGCCTCCTGTCATGTTGTAAAATTTAAGTGTACTAATAATCTTAATTTTAGTAATGACAGGAGGTGAGTATTTCCCCCCAGCCCCCCGCTTTGCTATCCCATCCTTTCTGTTCTCTTTCTTTATATGTGTCACTGGTCTAAGGTAAGTTAGGCTTCTTTTTTTTTTTATTTGTCAATTTTTATTGTTTTCGAGCAGGGGGGTACAGAAAAGAAGTGGGAGGGGTAAAAATAGATTCCATCAATGCACT